ATAAGTTTGCGGCGGCTGTATAAGTTTGCGGCGGCTGCGGCTGCGGCTGCGGTATATGGATAACAGGCACTTCCATAATCTCCAACAGCACGCAAAACTTCCATACCGAGCAGAAGTATGATTAGGACAAGTAGGGCTTACGGAAGAACAAGCTACATGAGCTCCATAACCATAAAAACGACAAAGCATGCACAAATGCAAGGAACAAATGGCCAAACAAAGAGAACGAGACAACTACTTATTTGTAAATAAATCATGACTTCTTGTTTAATGGAGATTAATGTCTCTTCATTTGAATTTTTTTTCCTTTTTTGATGTTGAGATAGTGTAGTACTACGGAAAATTATAAAGAGAAACGATGGAATAATTTGCACTAAATTAATGTAAATAAGATTTGAGCGACATGCCAACTTGATAAAGTTCATTAGAGATTATAGATTGATCAATTGCTATTGGAATCAGACTCAACACTAACAATTCAATTCGTGTTGCAGTTGCTGGCTACAATTATTTTATAGATCCCCTTGTTTTGGCATGTAGTGAGTTATATTTAAGATTTTGACAATGTAATATTCGGTCGAGAAAAGAATTTTATGATGGATAGTTTGACGAACTATAGTTTTAATGGATTTAGGCACATTTTACTTTGACATCCTCTTTGTTCAATTGTTTTTTTCCATGAAAATCGACTTCAGATGTCCCGGTCTGGATTTAATGTTGATTAGTTTAGTATGGGCAAACCCATTTTTCAAACAAAAAAATAATTACATTCAATTATTGTCCTTCAAATAGACGTTAATTAAACTCAATTAACAATCGATTCGACGGAAGACATACTATTTTGTTGCATGATTCTAGATAAATGTTGAAAATTAGAGATTTCGTTAAGATCTGTTTGACAAAATGGATACAACACAACATAAAAAATAAAAAAACAAAACCAACAGAAGACAGACACAAACATGAACACATAACCAATAAAAACTGTTGGATTTAATTCCACAAGTCAAGCTCCCATAAAATCAAAATTACTCTCTCTCTCTCTCTCTTTCCCTTTCTTCTTCTTCTTGTTAACTAATTAGGGCTGAGGGCCTGAGCTTCTCAAGAGCCATTACTACAACGAACCCAACGACAAAATCTCAGAAAACATAAAGCAGAGAAGAGGACTCGATTTCAGAAATGGAGGGAGGAGGGCGATCGGCGGACACGATGATGTCAGAGGCGGCGCCACCGTCGCAACCGGACCCTAACCACCCACAGCAACATCCTCCACCGCCACATCAGGCGATGGGGGGAGTGGAGAGCATTCCGGCCACGCTCAGCCACGGCGGCCGATTCATTCAGTACAATATCTTCGGCAACGTCTTTGAGGTCACCGCCAAGTACAAGCCCCCCATCATGCCCATCGGTAAAGGCGCATACGGCATCGTTTGGTCTGTATCTCCCCTCTCTCTCTCTCTCTCTCTCTTCATTCCTCCATTTCTTCATTTTTTTTTTGTTCAAATTTTCTGTCTTTGTGAAAGGAAAATGCAAAAGATTCATCATTTTTGGGGAAAAATTAAATTTGATTGAAATTTGAATGATTGAATAATCGTGAGAAATTGCAAAACAAATAGCTCGGCTCTGAATTCGGAGACGAACGAGCACGTTGCGGTAAAGAAGATTGCGAATGCATTCGACAACAGGATCGATGCGAAGAGGACGCTGAGAGAGATCAAGCTGCTGCGACATATGGATCATGAGAATGTTGTTGCGATTCGGGATATAATCCCTCCGCCGCAGAGGAACTTCTTCAATGATGTGTACATTGCGTATGAGCTCATGGACACTGACCTCCATCAAATCATTCGATCCAATCAAGCTCTATCCGAGGAGCACTGTCAGGTTCTGGCTCGTCTTCTACTCTTCTAAATTCTCACATTTTTGGTATTTTACTCGAAACTAAAGACGATTTCTTTACTTGTAACTAAAGTCAAACTTGATATGAGTGTGTTGGTATTCCATGTGAATTGATTCATTTGTGCATTTTCGGGTTATAAATCTGAAAAAGGCAAGTGCTTTGCCGTATTTGTGTGTTTTTCTTGACAATTTGGACAGTTGTGGCGCGACAAATCGTTCCTCTCGTTGTTCTCATTGATAAAGATAAAAAATGATTGGAGGAAATTGACCAAGAGGAAAGTTTTGGTTTGTAATAAGAATTCTCGAGCAACATTGAAAATAAAGATTAGACATTAAGCTTCTTTCCTTTTCAGCTACGCCGGTTGTTTCCATGGAGGATTGGTTTCAAGATTAGTTTTATGTACTCGTTATCAGACTTCCTTATATTTATATTGTGCTCCATCAAAGCTGTGTATTTTATGCAACTTAGATGACCTATGGCTCTTTGAGCACCTAATCAGCAAGTTGCGTAATAAGATGAACCGAACTCTCCCCTCCCTCTCTTTTCTCCCATTACATTTGGTCTGTTCAACTTGGAGTCTCCTGCTTCTATAAATTCATAATCTTTTTATTACTTACTATTATTTCACTGAAGATCTAATAATTACTCTCTTTTTTTCTTTTTCTTTTTTTGGTGTATGCAGTATTTCTTATATCAGATCCTCCGAGGATTGAAATACATTCACTCTGCAAATGTTCTGCACAGGGACTTAAAACCTAGCAATCTTCTCCTAAATGCCAATTGTGACTTAAAAATATGCGATTTTGGACTAGCTCGAGTCACCTCAGAGACTGATTTTATGACTGAGTATGTTGTTACCAGATGGTACCGTGCCCCAGAGCTACTGTTAAACTCTTCAGATTACACTGCAGCTATTGATGTATGGTCAGTAGGTTGTATATTTATGGAATTGATGGATAGGAAGCCATTATTTCCTGGCAGAGATCACGTGCATCAGCTTCGTCTGCTTATGGAGGTATCTTAGTTATGTTTGCTTGGTTTGTTTCCGCAAACCTAGGATCATATGATGGACAAGAAAATATCATCATCATCCTTATCATTATAACTGTTTTATCACAGTACAGGGTCCTTGAATAGCGTATTGGCTTCTCCATGCCATATTTATGTTACACTTGACGTGAATAATAAGAATAACATGTCTCACACTTCGGACCATTCCATGATGATATGGAATTGGAAATTAGAATCTCCATGTTACCAAAATGTACATTTGTAGTGTAGATATCTATGAATCAGTGTGATTAATCTTCAGAAACCTTGCAGCTGATTGGCACCCCATCAGAGGCTGAGCTGCAATTTCTAAATGAAAATGCGAAGAGATACATTCGGCAGCTTCCTCTCTACCGTCGACAGTCATTTACCGAGAAGTTTCCTCACGTCCATCCTTCAGCAATTGATCTTGTTGAAAAGATGTTGACATTTGATCCTACTCGGAGAATTACTGGTAAGTTGCCTTTACTAAAATGTTCACAAGTCTGAGTAAAAATAGTCACAGTTTCCCCTACTTCTTATGTGCTTTATTGACTCGGAATAACTTGTTGCTGACTCCCATTTAGTATGTCATCTTCATGTGTAGTAAAGTCGAGTACTCCCACATTAGTGTTACCTTGATTTTTAGCCACCTTAACTGAATATGTTTGCATGTTCAAACAATGAAATCAATAAATCACAAAATAGGAGTGTTAGAAAACTTCTGTTTTTGGATATCATTTAAAAAAGAAAAAAATTATCTCTAAGAATTCATTTAAGGGTGATGAAGGTTTCTCATTCCCCCTCAACCACCCTTCTGCTAAACTACAACCAAATCCAACGATCAAGCATATGGGTTAATCTTCATACTCCTCATTATTCTCTATTCTACAGAACTTCCCAAGTTTCATTACTGATGTTTGGATCTGCCATCAGATAATAGAATTGGGGTGGTGCTATACACACATCCCCTTCTTCCTTCAACACACCCTCTCAATTTCCGGCAATCGAATCGAATGAATTGAAGAGGATCAAAGAACATAAATTAGAAATTAACAGGGAGTGTGTGGAAGGTAAAAAGGAGGGTGTGGATGGCACCACCGTAGAGCTGTAGCAATCAACAGTTTCCCACCTTCTTAGGCTTGGGATGTCAGCTTCCCACTGACTTTAGGTTATTTGTTGTGTGGGTGTATGATCACCTCCAGAGAATAATGCTTCGGTAGTAGTTCTTACCTTTCATGTGGTGATCCATGGAAATCGGCCTTTCACCTTCTAACACCTTATAGTCGTGTTCATCATTGCCGTCAAAAACTTTAACCCTACATAGAATATCTGTTACAGAACCACGTGTTACCATGCATTTTTGTGGGAAGTCTAGCATTCAATTTGGTATTACTTCTCTAACTACAGTTTTGCTCGCGCTGCAGTTGAAGATGCCCTAGCTCACCCCTATTTAACATCTCTCCATGACATCAGTGATGAGCCTATTTGCTTGACTCCCTTCAGCTTCGACTTTGAGCAGCATGCACTCTCTGAGGAACAGATGAAAGAGCTGATCTACCGAGAGGCACTTGCATTTAACCCCGAGTACCAGCGACAGTGAGGAATTTGCTATTTTATTCACGTGGATTTCATATATGTGATCTCGAGGTTCCATCTGTTCAGTGATCGGGATTGATTTTTCATGTAAATATGTTCCATCCGAGAGTGGAAGGTTCTAGATTCGAATGATTGATTATCTGTATCGGCTAGTTTTGATTTCTGTTTGTCTAATTATGGAATTGAGCATAATGCTGATGAATTAATATTTTCTTGGAACACATTTCCGAAAGCTTGAGAATCAATAAAGATCTCCGATCTCTGTTGTTTCTTCTGATTGTATTCATGTGCCTTCATTTTTCTTTTCCATTTCCAGCCGTAAATCTGTGCTGGCATTCCCTTCGACCTGGATTGCACATAGGTCTGTGTAGGACGAAGCCGGAATGCCAGAAGTTGCACATCCGTTTATGAGCCGAATGAGATGAATATATAACAAAAAGGGCAACACGAATTCTTTTCGAAAACGTGAATATACCGAATGAGATGAATAAAACGAAACTTACCTCCTCTACCAAAGAAACCTCACCAGTGCCAACTGCTGAGGCAACTAAATATATCGTGTTAGCGAAAACAAGGGGATTGTGGTAGGCAAGAAGAAGACAATAAAGAACAAACTCATCTCAAACTAATCTCCTACTGTACGAAGATACAAACACAACAATAGCTCATATGATCCCGTTAGGTCTTCGCATTCCCGAAGAATCTTGAAAGTGGCACGGGACCATCAGCCTCGTCATCGCCACTGCTCGAGTGTTTGGTCTTTGACCTGTGCTTCTTTTCCTTCTTTGTTCTCTTGGACCTGGACTTGGATCGTCTCGATTCTCGGTCTTCATCTTCACTGCTGGAAGAATCTGAGGATGAGCTCGAGGAGCTAGACTCTGAAGATCTCCTTCTTGAATGCTACAAAGCACAAAGTAAAAGGAGGAAAATATTAAACCAATTAAACAAGCAAAACTACAAAAACACAAAATTGTAGGCAGTGGGCACCCTTCTCTTTCTGCTGCTGCTGCGTTTCTTTAAATCTTTATCCTTGCTATCTGCGAGGAGTAGGACACATATTCACCTTCAGAAAAGAGGCTAGTAGAGACAAGGAATAGTTTGTGTCTACATTCCATGTCCATGACACCCACCTTTTTTGCGATCAGACTTACTGCTAGAGTGGTTTCTTCCGTTGGCAAGCTTGCGAGCCCTTTCAGCATCCAGTTGAGCTCTGTATTCTCTCATCATTCTATCGGTATCCTTCTCCAGTTCTCCCTTTTTAATTTCATCTTCCTAGTACAGCAATACATTAAGATTGACTGAAAATTTGCATGTAGTGAAGAAGACTACAGATGCAGAAAGCTTTTGAAAAAAATTAATGGTAGCAAGTAGACAATACAACCATGTTATGACAGAGTAGGAAGATAAAATATTAGAGCAAATATCAGTTGAAAATTAGCTGAACCCAAACATTTGTAAATGCGAAATGCTAGGCCTAAGTAGTCGGGACTACAGGCCAATATCAACAACAACATCCTTGTCCTTCTATCTTCCAAATCCAAATGCATCAGATCATGTAACTTACTATCAGGCAAAATCAGAAACTCAATTAACATGTTCCTTCTACAACACACGATATCAAGAAGGTAAACAGCAGTAGAAATAGATAGAGGAAAGTCCAAAGCAGAAAAGAATACCTTTTGCTTCTGTTTATACTCCTCCCAGGTAATTGTCTGAGAAGTTTTGAGGCTAGCCAAACGAGCAGCATGCCATTCTGGTGAATGAAATGAACCATCCACCTGCGACAGTCCTCATCAGTGAAAGTACAGGAGGATACAAGTATTATATTGGATTATCGAGTCAATTCTCTAATAGAAAGATGATACATACTTACATTTCACCAAATGTTTACCCCAAAAACCTTAATATGGTACCCTACTTGAAATTGACACGAATTTCATTGTGCACATACCGATAGAAGTAAAATATGTATGTGGGTGACGTAGTATGGGAATCAGAAATATGCCCCGTCTGACGATAACTCTTTCAGTGGTTAAAGTCTTATACATGAGTGGCATCTAATTACCGAAGTTTAGTTTCTTGAGATAGATTAATCATTATCATGAATCTGACAGAGGTACTCCACAAACTGTATAATTGCTCACACTAGTCCCATCAATTGTGAGAAAACCAACAACATCCAACTTACAAGTTAGGCTGCTAAAAATTAAAGACACCCATCTCCAAAAGCTCGTCATTCATCAACATACTTTTAACACGTAGAAGAGTCATGGATTATGGAGGATGCACCATAACCCATAACTCCATATCTATGAACCTATGCTAACCACATGACAAACAAACAAGAACGTAAACAATGTTGTATTCGCATTCCTATTACCTTGAATTGTACATCATTCATACGAGATTATATGCAATGGAATAATCCAAGCCAATTACCATAGTCAAACCAGAGTGGCGATAAAGCATCTAAATTTACAAGTAGATGGTATTCAACACTCCACACGTGATACGACACAAACAATTCCTTTTAACGAACACCACATAATCGTAGAATGTCAGATACTATAACCACAAATTCAGTAAAACAGTAAACAATTACAACACACCCGTTAAGAAGATCGAATCTTTTCAACAAGGCTTCCTTAGAAATCACATATTCCATTGCACAGTAAGCAGTTCATCGAGAAAACTAAATGCAGGCAACTGAATTCGAATGCAAATAAATAGCAGAATTGAAGAATTTGTTTTCGGGGGGGGGGGGGGGGGGGGAATTGAAATTAGTGAGGTAGTGTGGAAGGGTACAAACCATGCCGTCTTCAACCTCATCAGGGCCTGCAGAGCTGGAGCCGAGCCTGGATCTCTGCATAGCCTTGTAAGCTTGATTTTTGCCCATTTGGAAAGAGACCCAGATGAGAAAATCAATCAATCAATCAAAAAGATACGACTAGAGTATCCGCGGAGGACAACCCATGTACCGAAATCGAGAGAATTTAGGAACAGCTAGAAGAAACGAGGAGGTTGGGTTTGGGTTTTCCAAAGAGGTGTGACTGTTGCTCCTCGTCGTATGAATTTGGTGATACAATTACAAGGTGAGGCTGTCAGGACGAGGCCAGCAGTTTTGTCAAAGAAACAACGACGATCACGTGTTCGACCTTAGAGATTTAGATGACGTGTTCGACCTTGATTCGTACGGGTAGCAGTTAATAATGAATGAGCGATCCTCTTTGTGATACTCCAATTACATCCGTTCGTCTTATATGTGAGCTAAAAATTATTGTAAATTTTTTTATTTAAAATTGAAAACAGTATCTGAAAAAAATTAATCGCACAATATACGATGAACAGATGTGATTACAGGATTCTGGGAATCCTCAGAAAGAGAATCTGGCGAGGATCGTCTCTTATGAATGAGGATTTTCTTTGTGAGGATTCTAAGGATTCTTCAATTACGTATGTTCATCGTACATCATGCAGTCATAAATTATTGTAACTTTTTATTTAAAAAATTAAATATAAATAATACCTGATAAAAATTGACCAACAATATACGATAAACGATCATGATTAAATGATTTCCTAAATCTTCTCAAAGAGGATCTGGAAAGAATCTTCGTTAATAATATTAAACACACACCAAGGACGGATGACTCATCGTGCTTTTTCCAAAGAATAATGCTAACTCCTCCTGCTATCGAACTTTCAAACATCATCTTATTTAAATTTAAACTACATATTAATAGAATTTTTTTAAAATAAAAAATGATGAAAATATTATTTAATTTTCTATCACAAAAATAAAATTAAAGACAATAATGTAATTCTATAAAACAAAATTTTTCTATTTTTTATTTAAAGCATCAAATTTTAACATCTCTAATTTAAAAAAAAATTAAAAATAAACCTATCCTGCCCTCCCACTTTATGTTCTCTCACTCTCTTCCTCTCTTATTCAATTTTAAACAAAAATATAACATTTCACCTACACTTTATGTGCGGGTATATACTAGTATAATTTAAAATTTTGATCTCTCTGCCATTTTTTTGTCTAAAATAAAGAAAATGTATAACTTATTTGAAAGTGCGGAAGCCATCTCACAATTTTTTGCTTTGCGAGAATCTGAGAATGACGATAACATGTAGTCTTATTCATACTTTGCAAAGATATTGTTTTCATGACTCAAATTTGTGACATTTTAGTCACACGGAAAGCAATATTTCGTTGCTCCAAAACTCATCCCTTGATTAAATTTGTAGTATGGAAAACAAAAATTAAAAATGAAAAAGTTGGCGAGGTTAGAACTTAGCCATAACGATACTTCATCGGCCATGCTTCTCTAAAATGTCTTACATGAATTTAAATATGCTTGTGATGATACGACATTGGCAAGAAAATAAGCTTTATGATCCTCTTTTAATTTTGATATATTCTTAATTGTGTCCGAGTATCAAGTATAAATTTAAAATTAGGAACTTTAACGAAAAGTTTCTGGTACTGTTCACTTTAACGAAAAACCACATTTTTACACTAAAAAATCAATCATGATACTATTCACTTTACGTTTTATTTTACCCTTATCGTTAAAACTCAAAGTTTTCAAACCATTTTCATTAGTATTATTTTTAAAATTTAATTAAAGGTGGACAGCAAAATTGGTATTTGCCAAGTTGGGTTCTAAACAGGCTGTACATAATGCGAAGAAACCTGATGGGCTGTCTTCAGTTTGGACTTGAGCAGTTAATAGTGGGCCTCCAATTTTTTTTTATGTGTAAATAATTTTTTAGAATGACCTAAATTTATTTTAAGAAATATGTGGTGTGACGAAAATGACTCTTATAGTTTATTTTGTAAAAATGTTAATTTGAAAACATGAGTTATAACTCACAGGTTTTGTGAAAAAAATTTTAAATTTTAAATTTTAAATAATATTTTGTGTTGTAGCTAAGGAAAATGTTGCAAGACATTTTGATGCTATCCTAACCATTTATTAAGTCTCGAATTTTTTTTTTAATTTTTAAAGTTGAAAAATAAAACAATAATATAAAGTAATAGAGGGTGCCAAATATTTTTTTACGTGTCGAAAATCTTCCGAATGTCTTAGATTAATTTTAAGAAACATATAATGCGATGAGAATGGCTCAAACTTTCGCTTATAATTAATCTTGTAAAAATTTTCAAAGTTGATTTGAAAACATAGGTTATAACTCACAATTTTTGTGAACAAAATTGAAAATTTTAGTTTTAAGAAATATTTAGTTTGGTAGCTAAGGAAAATGTTGCAAAACCTTTCAATATGATCCTACCATTTATTAGGTCCTGAAAATACTTTTTTATTGATTTTTAAATTTGAAAAATAGGAAAAATAATAATATAAAGTAATAGTATGCCCCCCAAATATTTGTTTTGTGTCGAAAATGACACACCCCGTCCCGAATGAGGGCATGCTGGCCGTCACGTGAGAGTGACGTAACCATTTACACAGTTCGGAAGCTTTAAAAATACAATTACTAAGATGAAACACCCGAGGGTGAGTCCTAGTTTTGTGAATTCTGTCAGAACACCGTTGGATTCCTCGTGGCCACCAAAGCTCTGCTATCTAGAACCTGGAGGGGCGCAAAACAAAGTTGAGTGGGTCAGTAAAACAAAGTTTTTCGAAAACATTTCATTTAACAACATTTCTAACCTCTCACTGTAAAACCTGTATACTTTCCCAGAAAATAACATAATAGCATATACCTTCAAATATCTCAAATCATCATTCTTTATCAAAACCAGAAAGTATGCCATGTCATAATGTCAAAAACAGAATATGGATGCATCAATATAATGGGAAAAAGAAAGACCTCAGAGTTAGAGAATCAGATGGCAAGCTTATGCAAGAGAACAAGGTGTTTATACCTAATGTTATGGAATTAAAGGAAGCAATTTTGGAATTAACCGTACAGGACCAACTGCAGGGTCTTCGCCCAAGGATGGGTGATCCATTGGGAAGTTGCTCGTGAGTTCCCAGAAACAAAACCGTAAGGCGTGGTAAGCCCAAAGCGAACAATATCGTGCTACAGTGGTGGAGCGGGCCCGGGAAGTGGTCCGCCCCGGGCCGGGATGTGACAGAAAATCTTTGGAATGTCCTATATTAATTTGAAGAAACATGTGGAGCGACAACAACTACTCAAATTTTTGCTTATAATTAATCTTTTAAAAAATCTCAACATCGATTTGTAAATGTGGGTTATAACTCACAGTTTTTGTGAAAAAAAAAATTGAAATTTTTGGGTTTAGGAAATACTTTGCATGAGAGCTAAGGAAAATGTTGCAAGATCTTTGGATATGATCCTACCATTTATTAGGTCCTAAACTATTATTTATTTATTTTTAGATTATAAAATTAGAAGAATAATATAAACTAAAAGTCGGCCCTAAAGTTTTTTTTTTTTTTTTATGTATCGAAAATCTTCAGAACGTCTTAGATTAATTTTAGGATGCGACAAGAACGACTCGAATTCTCACTAATAATAAATCTTGTAAAGATTATCAAAATTGATTTGAAAACGTGGGTATATAACTCACGGTTTTTGTGAAAATTTTTGAAATTTTTAATTTTAGGAAATATTTTGCATGGGAGCTAAGGGAAATATTCCAAGACCTTTGGACTCTTACCATTATTTTCTAAGGATTTTTAAAATTGAAATAAAAAATAATATAAACTAATAGTGCAAATATTTTATTTATTTGTCGAAAATCTTCAAAATGTCCTATATTAATTTTAGGAAACATGTGGGTGCAATGAGAATGACTCGAATTTAACTTACAATGAATCTTGTAAAAATTTTCAAAATTGATTTGAAAATGTGGGCTATAACTTTCAATTTTTGGTGAAAATTTGATATTTTTAGTTTTAAGAAATATTTTGTATGGAAGCTAAGGAAAATATGGCAAGACCTTTGGATGTGATTCTACCATTTATTAGGTCCCAAAACTATTTTTTATTGATTTTTAAAATAGAAAATTAATATAAACTAATAGTGAGCCCCCCAAATATTGTTTTATATGTCGAAAATCTTTAGAATGTCCTACATTAATTTTAGGAAACATGTGGTGCAACGAGAATAACTTGAATTTTCGCTTATAATAAATTTTGTAAAAGTTTCCAATATCGGTTTTAAAATGAGGTTTATAACTCACAGTTTTCATGAAAATTTTTGAAATTTTTAGTTTTATAAAATATTTTGCATGCGAGCTAAGGAAGATGTTACAAGACATTTGGATGTGATCCAACCATATATTAGGTCCCAAAACTATTTTTATTCATTTTTAAAGGTTAAAAATAGAAAAAATAATATAAACTAATAGCAGGTCCCAACTGTTTTTTATGTGTTGAAAATCTTCGGAATTCTAATTTATTTTAGGAAACATTTGGTTCGACTAGAATGACTCGAAGTGTAGTATCCCACATCGGCGAGGTGAGGGTTGGTCCCTAGCCTTATATGTATATGCCTCTCTCTTCCTAGCATGACACATTTTGGTAGTGAGGTTCTCTTGCCCAAGAACAAATTCGTGAGGGTGTGGCCCAAAGCAGACAATATCGTGCTACGGTAGAATCGGGATGTGACAGCTTGATATCAGAGCCAGACTCACCATCCATTCGGATGTGCCGACGAGGACGTCGGTCTCCCTAAGGGGGATGGATTGTAGTATCCCACATCGGCGGGGTGAGGGTTAGTCCCTAGCCTTATATGTACATGCCCCACTCTTCCTAGCATGAAGCGTTTTTGGTAGTGAGGTTTTCTTGCCCAGGAACAAATCCGCGAAGGCATGGTCTAAAACAGACAATATTATGCTACGGCGAAGTCGAGATGTGACAACATTTCCATACCATCTTAGGTGATATGATGTGGATAGCCACATCAATTTGAATTAATTATATTTTTTTAATTTAATTCATTATTTAATAAGCCAATAATTAAGAAAAACTATTTAATTATACGATGTTTGTGATATACGAGAAGTTTTACTACTTCCTTCCCTTGGGTTTTGCAAATTTTTCATTGGGCATAAAACCATGAGTTTGGTGGGTTTTGCAAGTTTTTTAACAGAGATTCAAATGAAAG